ATATATATAGCGTGAGGCGTAAGCCTCATGCCAGTGAGGCGAGGCGGGCCTCAATTCGGGCCTCAACCAAGTTGAGGCGCAAGCCTCTTAAAAAAAACTCGAGGCGTAAGCATCGAGGCATTTTTTACTGGAATTGCGCAAAGGCGGGCCTCAAGGCGAGCCTCATATTGCGCAATTTTAAACCATGATGTTATGCTAGGGAATTTTGGAGAAAACCTTTCTTTTGAAACTTAAATTATCATATTTTGTTGTAGGTTGCAGTGCTTTTCCAGAGTCATCATGATTTACTCGAAGAATTTACACATTTTTTACCAAATACATCAGCCACAACTGCTCCACAACATCTATCTTCTGTAAGACCATTTGTGAGGCGTGATGATAGGAGCTCTCTGATGCCATTTATGAGAAATCCTCCAATGGTAAAGGTACCAATGAAATAACTGTTGCTGAGCTCTGTTTTTTTTTATTTTTTATTTTATTTGTCATTGAGGATCTGTTTTATGTTAGTTTTCTTGCACTTGCTTTACCATCATTAATAATTCCAATGGTAGTTTGATATTAGCCTGAATGATTTGTTTCATCCTTCTTGGATCACGTTTGGCCTTGATTGAACAAAAAGCTGATTTTATATCAGTTTTTGGCATTTTCATTTCAAAAAGTGTGCATTTTAAGTATAACAGGCTAAATTTTCTAAAAAAATCCCTAAGAATTTACTTCACAATGGGCACCTTATTTATTGGCTATGGTGCCTTAGTATCAGACGCTCAGCATGATGCCCTCCAGCTCATTCTCCCTTGATAGGCAATGCATTTCAAAAAGGAGGGTGCCTTAATATTGCTTCGGCTTGAGATCCAGGAGCCTCAGTAATGTACCAAAACATGCAAAATTCACATTAATTTAATAATTTTTAAATTATCATCCTGTTTCTTTTTGTTGCTCTTTTATGAAAGAGGAATAGCAATTCTTTGGCCACTTAAGGGCAATAGCTCCAAGAACCATCTCTTGAGCTTTAAATTACATATACGATATTCACATTATTGAAATCAAACTTATAGATGAATAGCATGTTAATATTTGTTATGTAATCTACATCAATAATACAACTAAACATCTTTTCTAAATCTTATATTTATGTACTTATTCACTTCTATTTCAGCTACTGAAATATACCCTATGACATCATTATGTTTATTTTTCATTTCATTTTTATTATAAGTGATTATTCAAATATGGAATATCAATGGTTGTTTAAATGTTTTACTTATAATTCTAAATTTAATGTTGTAAAATTTAAAAGTAATTTTAAGATACTATTTTAGGTATTTTATCTATTAAGTCATTTTTATAAAATATGTAAAGAATTTTTGGAACTAATAATTTAAATGAAATTATTCCTAAACAAAATTTAAGGAAATGCACAAGAACACTGAAGTTGAAGCATGTTTTGAAACCTCAGTTCCTATCTTGTTTAAGATGGGTTCACATTGAATTTTTAAGGTGCTCCTTTACAGCATATCTATTTAAGTTTGTATGATAATTTCTATTTTTTGTCATTTATTATTATTATTATTATTATTATTTTGAAGCCTTTTTTCAGCCTCTATTGTTGTCTTTGATTCCACAACTAATTTAAAATTTTTGCAATCACATCCATAATTCAAATGACATAATATTATAAGTCAAATTTCATTCAAACAAAATGATTGAATATTGACTTATTATATAGGATCCACGACCCAAAATTTTTCATTCGTCTCAATTGTTTTTCTTCTTCTTCATTGAAACTTCGTTTCAAATTAAAAAGGAAAGGAACAAGTACCATTGGGGTAAATGGGAAAGAATCAAAGTTTGACATTTTGCAATGATGATGCCAGAGCTTCTTGTAAGTTTGGTGGTGTGTTTCGTGTGAATGCTATCATTTTGTTTAAAAGGAATTTTGGTTCCTAATTTATTATTTCAATTGAGTTTTTGATGCGATTCTAATATTTTTTAATTATACGGATTTGTTTTGACAATTGAAATTATAAGGAATAATATTGAACTAGAACAAAATTACAGGAACTAGACAAAGACTTGCCCCTTTTTTTGTTATACCTTTCTTATATGCTCAAGTTACTATATATTAATAAATAATATTCTAGTATTCTTTTTGTCAGAAGGAAAGGGCAAATAGTTCATACTTGGAGCGTGACCTTAGTGTTGATCGTCCTGATCTAGAACATGAGCAGAGGCGCACTGAGAAGGAAAAGGACAGGAAAGAAGAAAGGGATAGACGAGAACGAGATCGGGATGAGAAAGACTTTGAGCATGATAGTAGGGATTTAGAATTAACTCGCAAAAGGAAACCTTCTCATAGGGTTGATGATGATGCCCCTGAACTGATGCACCAAGGAGAAGGTGCTGAAAACTTTGGAATGTACTGCATGTCTGCTTCATTTGGGGATAAGAATTCCCTAAAGAGTAAGTTTGTTATTTTCCTTATACAGAAATGCATCTTCCAAGTAAACTGCTGTTGCTTTTGATTTATTGTTATTTTATAACACTATTCTGTATGTTCTGCCTCATTTTTAGGGATATATTTGTTATTATTTCATTACTTTATACTCAAATCTTTGTAGGAGTTAAGTTTTGCATAATGTTATTCTAATGTCGGTCAATTTTCCCTTAAATATTAGATATGAAGTCGTTTCCCAGTTGGCAACTCAATTATTTTAACTTTTGTTTTGTACGTAGATTGAAAATCCTTAGTGGTACAAGGACTGTAAATCCTGTGCATTGTATCGTTATATGAGTTTGTGTTTTTAATATTGAAAGCATGATTTTGGTTAATTTGATTGTTTAATCATTTGTTTTTTAAAGATTTCATGACTTGTAGGCAATTTGTTTCTGTTCTTGTCATAGTAATTTACATATTTTCTTTCTTTATTCTTTTAATCTTGTTTTAGGTGTATATACACAAGAATTTGCTTTTTGCGAGAAAGTTAAGGAGAAATTGCACCCGGATGCATACCAGGAGTTTCTAAAGTGCTTGCATATATATAGCAAGGAGATTATTACCAGAGATGAACTGAAGAATTTGGTAGGAATTTGCTTCTACTTTTCTACTTTCCGATGTGGTTGATATTTTAGCTTTATAATTCTATTTCTTAACAATTCTTGGGTTTCTTGGGTGGGTGTTCCTCTGTCTGCTTATTAAACTTTTGTGGGTTACGTTTTTTTTCTTTTTTTTTGAATTTTTTATGGTGATCTTGCTTCTTTCAAAATGGTGTCTGATTAATTTATTACGAGCTTTTATAAAGCCAATGTGCTAATTGCTACAAAGTTATGGTTTGGGGATTTGACGTTGACATGACATTGTTGAGTTCCCACCAATAATTGGTTTGGAATAAAAAATGAAGTTAAAATTTGTTGTCTAACTGGGCACAACATGAATGAAGTTAAATAACCTGTGCCGTCCATATTTTGGAAAGAGTGGCTTTTGTACTTATTTATATTTCTCTAATCTTGAAAATACTATGTAGCAACAGTAACAAATGGTGATAATTTCTGTTAATTTCACTCTTGTTAATGAGTTGAAATGCCTTGACATGAACATCTGAATAGCCAGTTCAATAGGCAGGTCTCATTTGGTTCATTTCTTGTCCGAAACTTGACATTATTGCATTCCTAGTTTAGGCTTGAGCATAAACATTTCCAAATGGTCCCACTAAATCCAAAAAAATTATGTTTATGTCAAACTAACTTGATCAATACCGGGATGTTGAATTGAGTGTCCCACTCAATTATTGGGCTGGTCTCGAGCAAAGATTTACATTTTCATGTCCTGAGTTGATTTGGCCCGACCTAGACCTCTCCCTAGTGCGCAGGTCTAGAACAAAGGTATTCCAAGTCAAGGCTCATGTATAATCACACTGAATGTTAACCTTTCTTTCATTAGCACTTGTGAGGATAGGAATGGAGGGGCAGTGATTGGGGCTGTAGAGGATTTTAGTAATTTCCGCACCTCTTCCCACCTTTTTCTTTTATAGCTTCATGCTTTCTCAATTTTATTTTTGTATTGTTTTTTTTTTCTTTTTGTTGTCTCCATAATTTCAATGTTTAAATGTACTACATCTACTTTTATACCTGAATTTTGTATTTTCTTTTCTTAACTATGATGTATTTCTACTGCTCAATTACGGTTGTATTTTTGTTTGGTGAATTTTCATTTTTGTTCTTATAAAGCATCCGCGTCCAGAATTATGTTTGTCTAAGACCAGAAACAAGATTTCATCAATAGTATTACTTAACATTTGAGTTATCTCAGTCGACAGTTGGCTTTTGTAAAAATATTTTAGTAGGTTACTATTACCTAATAACTATAGAACGGGAACTTAGGAAGCATTAGAACATCGGTCTGTTCCATTGACACATATCTAATGTTTTTCTCTTCCAAACTATGATATGTCAAAACTTTCAAGTCCATGGCAACGTTACATACCTTCCTTTGCCCCCAGAATTCTCATTCACATTTATGCATCTACTTTTGACTTTATAAAAATTGGGTTCTTCAGGAATGATGTATTTAGAGTTTGTGATGGATAGATTTTTTTGTTCAGTATCAATGTTATTGAACCAGTATATTACCAAAAAATAAAATATGGTTAGGAGTTCTAATAAACATGAAAATGAAAGGTTGTGCAGCTCAAGCAATTTTTCTTGAATTTGATCCTTGCTTTATTGCATGGTTATAGAAACAGCTTCTTTGTAACGCTGTGTAATTCAAACACAGCACCCCCTCAACCAGCTCATAATGGGTCGGAGCCTCATGAACTTGGCATGCTCTTTATTATCACTTGATGAAATACTGCGCTCAAATGGCTTGGGCAAGTTGAGGATCAAGGAGAAGTATGCTTCTTATTTCGAGTGGTAGAAGTTTCCAAAGTTGTTCTTTGTAAATGTCAGTAATGATTGAAGTATATGATGAGAACCTAATCTCATCTTTAACATTTAGTGCTATTCAAACTATCATAGAAAAAACAAAATATAAACGGGGTTAACATATTTATTGTTCTTCATATGCTCATCATCTCCCCAAAGGGGGTGTTTATGGAACATTAACTAACCATTGTCATTAACGTTTACAAGAATGATTTAGATGCTAATCAGACTTACAACATTACTAATTAATTTCAACTTATGTTGTGGATTCGCAAAGTACTCCCCATCTCATTTTAAAGTTGAACTTCCAAGTCAATCCACTAGGGGCTTCTATCCATTTAGCGGTCATTGTGTTCTAGATCATCAACGAAGTTGCAAGTAAAGAATTGATCAATGAGAATTGGAGTAATTCCTCATATTCACCCCTTCGTGACCTTGAAGATGGATGCTATTTGTTTAGCCACAATTATAGATGACCAGTCTTGTGCACAAGTTGTAAAATAATCACTATCTACACATTCAATTTTTTTACAATCTCCCCGATAATGAACTTCCAACTATGATGGTCGGTATCCTATAAAGGTTTATCTCTTAGGATTCAAAAGGATGGTCAATTATCTCAAGAGAATGTTCGACACTTTTCAAAGAATGGTCTAAATGTCATAAAATACTTTTCTTGAAATAATACTAAGAGCTTAACTGTTTGTTCACATCCAATGATGGTAACTCAATGACGAGCCGTATGTACGCACTTATGCAATTATAAAATGTTGCACATTGTGCAGATTATTGGAAGAAAAGATATGATCAACCTCGAGAAGCCATGCTTACTTGAACAATTTTTTAATGACTTATTATCATTTCTTCCATTGTTGATTTAGGATCTAGTAGGTTTTCAATATGTTCCAAATTTGTCTATCATCATTCAATATTATGAAAGTTGTTGTGTTGTTTCCCTAGTAACTCTTATCATACAATTTACCAACATTCTTGATGAGTTAAGCAACCCTTCACTGGCAAGAATGAAACTGGCCTTTGTTTGGTGTCGATATGCGGGAATGAAATAGGTCCAAGTTTGGTGTTTTCATGTTAGGAATGATTGGATGTTCTCTAAGTGGAAGTTTTTTTATTATAATTAACTAACTAATTAACATGAGGTGTGTTGGAAATGTTTTTAGCTGAGTTCCTTTATTATAATTAATTCCAGTTGTCTTTCAATCTATCAAAACATCAAGATGTACAATGTTTGGTGACGGCATAGAGAAAGTGCATTGTGACTAGCGGGTGTTGTTCTTGAATCGACAGCAACAAGAATTGTGAAATTGTGAATTGGGGAAATCATGTGCATTCAATAATGAAAAATGAGTATCTTGGTTTGGCAATAGGTTTGGTGTATAAAGTTGTTGAGGAAAAGTCCATAAAATCTTAGACTTACGACACTACTATGTTGGCGAAATTCGGGTCAGAGGCATGGTTGGGGGTGGATGCGACACTTTTAGCGTGAAAGTGTGATCTTATGTTTTGGAAGATGGTAATTCTAAAGTTAATAGTCACTGGATACCAAAGATAATCAAAACCTAGTTTTTGTAGAAGGCTAACTGAGAGTTGTGTTTGTTATCTTACATGTTCTTTAGCAAATAGGGAGATTTTGGAATCACAAGATTTTGGCGATGTGATCAGTGTGCTTATAGGTTGAGACAAAGTGTCGTGGTTGCAGATTTGAGCAAATATCGAGTGGATCACAAATTCATAATGCTTCATAGTGGATGGAATGACAAAAACAAAAATGATTGGGAACGATCGTGGAATTGGAAAATTAAAATGAGGTAAGGTCGAGGATGAAGCGTGATCGTGCAATAAAACCAAGTGCTTGAACAAGTGTTCTTGGACCGAAGTGGGATCAATGAAGATCCATTGATGAGAACCCGGTCGCATCTTGACTATTTCGATATGTTCAAACTCTCAAGAAAGATCAAAAATAAGGTGGGGGGAATAGATACATTCTTCTTCTAAAATTCAGAGAATTGAGAGGGAAAAAGCTTAGCTTTAATGCTCAAATCTATCCCTATTTATATATCTATACAAAATATCTAATTAAGAAATAAATAAATTACATGGTCGTGCATTATTGCCCTAACGATGGAAAGAGATCAGCGTGATCCAGGCGAGCCTCCCATGGATCCCCATCCTAGTCGTGGGATTAATCTGCTAAAGGACGACTGAGATTCAACATCTAGGTGAGCCTCCTACAGATTCCCATCCTAGCTGTGGGATTAATTTGTTAAAGGACGACAGAGATTTAACACTTCCCCTCAAGTATGGTAATACAGATCTGTCATTCTCAGCTTATTAATCAGTCTAAAAAAGATAGAGGTATAAAGTCTCTTAGTAAGAATATCCACAAGCTGATCTTTTGATGATACACATAAGACCACTATATATACACATAAGACTACTGTCTAATTTTTCTTTTATAAAATGCCTGTCAACTTCAATGTGCTTGGTTCTGTCATGTTGAACTGGATTTTGAGCTATGTTGATTGCTGATTTGTTGTCACAATGTAGCTTCTTGGGCCCTTCCCACTTGATTCTTTGGTCTTCTAGAATCCTTTTTATCCATAGTAGCTCACATATTTCCAAGGTCATAGTTCTGTATTTCTCTTTTGCACTGGATCTTGCCACCACATTCTATTTCTTTCTTCTCCATTTAACTAGGTTTCTTTCAAGGAATTTGCAGTATCCTTAGATAGATCATCTATCTACGGGTGATCCTGCGTAATCTGTATCAGTATATGCTTCTAGGTTATTCCACAGTCTCTTATGAAGAGAATCCCTTTCCCTGGGATCCCCTTAAGGCAGTGGTGTAATCTGTCTATAGCTTGCATATGGGTTTGTTTTGAAGTTTGCATGAACTGGCTGACCATGCCTACAACAAATGCTATATCTAGTCTGGTGCAAAAAAGGTAGATCAATTTTCCCACAAGTCTTTAGTAAGCTTCCTTATCTACATCTAGATCTTCTATAGCTTCCCCCAATTTGAGAATTAGTTCTATTGGTGTTGGTACCGGTTTACAAGCTAGGTTACCTGTTTCTTTAAGAAGATTATTGATGTATTTTGTTGTGAAATGAAAATTCCTTTGCTGGTTTATTTGCTTTTGT